GAGGAAACACTTCAGTCTGGAATCTCCTCTTCTCCAAGCCTATTGTTCACATATTGTTGTTACGTGCCATCAAGTTGTCTCTGAGTTCTGGGGACCCTTCGAATGAGAGTCTTCCAAAATGCCCAGCCCTTGAGTGACAGTCCTGCTCCACTCTGGTAAGCTCATGGCTGTGGCTTCCTTTATATGGTCAATCCATCTTGTCTATGGTCCTCCTTTTCTTCTACTGCCTTCAGCTTTCCCTAGCATTACTGTCTTCTCATGGTTAGTTAACTAACATACTCAGTGTTACATTTCAGGATCATATATCCTAGCTTCATCTTTTGTGACATGGACAAAAAAAGATATCCAACACACACACATTGAAATCTTTCAGAACGCTGATTACTTTAAACAACTGTGAAAAATTAAAAATATTTATTCATCATAGTTATGAATTGGAAAGTAAAATAAGTACCAGTTGTGTGACTGGTACAGAGAAATTTGGAATATAGTTATTAATGACAAATTAATTTGTGATACTAAAGTGAGAAAAGGGCATAAGTTGTAAGAAAACAAGTTAAATGAGAAAATAAGTTAAATGAGCTTTGAGTGTATTTATTGAGTATGCATTTTAAAAAGGGAAAGAATTCGATCTGACAAAAGAATCATTACAGTTTTGGAGGGGAAAATGTCCTGAAAGAATGAGTTTTTCTATCTGTAACATGTATCCTATGGTTCTGGTGGGTACAATACTTTTTGTTGTGTTTTAGATTGAAAATTAAGAAAAAAATAACATTGAAATACATTTTAAAATGAACACATACATTTATACGTTAACAGTCTTAAAACAAGTGTTCTTAAAACAGCTGTTGATAGTAATGAACTGTTCCAAAGTCAGCTACTGGTAGAATGGAGTATTTCAAGGCTTTACAGTACAAGCATATAGTTGAGCTACTCAAAGAAGTCCTATTGAGTTTCACAGGACTAACTTCCAGGTAAATGTGGGTGGGTGCATGCACACACATTTTTTGCACTCCTAGGAAATATATAAGTTTTGTAAATAGGCTCATGAATTCATAAAGTGGCACTTAAAATTATTGTTTATCTGGTCGACATTAAATCAAAATTAACAAGAGGTTTCTGTGAACCTTATGTTCCTAGTCCATTTCTGCTTCTCTACAGATCTCCCTTTTCAGGTGGAGCATTATTATTAAGGCAAGGTTAGGAACCTTCAGGCCCAGAAGCTAAATCCAACCCCGCTCTGGTCACAATGTGGCTTTCAGGGGGTTCTCCAGATGGCCACACCTCCTTCCTCCCCCTTCACCTGTTGTCTGATGGTTTCCCAGCTTTTGGGTGGTTTCCCCCTAATTCTAAAAGATAATGATGAGGATGAGGTCTCAAACCAACACAAGACCAGGGCAGTTATGCAGAAATAGACCATGTACTGCTCAAAACTGCAGTGACCTCTCTTACGAGGAGAAGATGTGCATTTTTCTAGCAGTGACAAACCACAGCTTAAATGCAAGGAAAATTCCATTTGCCCAACCTAGAACTCCGCTTTTTAGGAAGAATGACCAGAATCAGCACAATTAATATACAACAACTGTGTGTGTGTTTGTGCAATGCACTGAAAGGTCTCTGGGAGTAGTTCCAACCTCATTGCAACTGATACACAATTATTTCTATAGTGTTTACAGTACGTAATGCTTTTCAAAGTTTACAGGCTTGTTTTTTTCCAGAATTGGTACAGCTGTCTGATAATGGTTACTAACATAAAAAGAATTCCATGTTCTTAATAGGGTTGAAATACTTTTCTCCTGCTCCAGACACACACAAATGTTTGTGATGTCACTGTTAAGGAGGAGCAAGAGCAGTAGACAAAATGGGACTGATATATCTGCAGATTCGGGAACCGAGATTAAGCATATCTCTGTATCAACTCGGAAATCCATGAGTTACTGTGAACCTACACTTAGACCTGTACTGTCTAAATCAAACACTTTATTAGCTAATGACACTGATGCAAGTTTAGGGCTGACTCAGACGTCACAGTGAGACAGGGTTCTGGAGAACACGGGCCTCACTCATTCACTTGTGAATCCCACTGATTGTGACCTCTGAATTAGGCCAGATTTAGAGGTCGCAGGATTGTTGTGAGGAAGAGGAGGAACAACTTGCAAGCTTCCTTGCCTTCTGTGCAAGGTGGGATTTAAATACAACAGTAAATAATAAATAAGGTAATATACCAAGTAGCATCTTTTCATTAAACAGGCAAAATACTAGTTAATGAGGTGTAACAGAATTCTTCCTGTCTCTGAACATACCTATTTTTCATGTGGATCATATCCAATAGGGCAAAAAATACTAACCTAACTTATAGGGTGATTCACACAAAAATAATGATATAGCTCTTTTAAGACTAATCACTTATAAATGCAAAGTATGATTGCTTTTACTGAAGGTAAATTATGTGTGAGATCTTGCATATGTAGTATAAGCATAAATATAAATGACCCAAGAAACATTTCTGCATACCCCTTCTTAACCACTGTACTCAACAAGCTGACAAGCTAAACAGGGAGTTGATCCCATTCTTCTAAGAGCTTAAGGACACGTGAATTGGGGACCCTGTGTGTATAGTGAGAACAAAACAGTAACATAGTTATTCTAGATTAATCAGGATGAAAGACCAGTGTGTGAACATCCTGTAATTATGAGAGAAGAATACTAAAAAGAAAAATTATGGCTCAGTTTGCTGTTGTGTGGACTTTCCCAACCTGGTGCCTTCCAGATGTGCTGAACCACAACACTAACCATGCTGGCTGGGAAATGATGGGAGTTGTAGTCCAACACGTTCAAAGGGCATCATATTGAGAACGGCTGGTGCACAGCTCCTTTCCCCGCATTGCTGTCACGTGTTCCCTTCCCCCAAGCCCTGCTTTCTCCCTCCCCCAAATCTGCCTCCAGTGCCTTTGACACGTGTTTCTCCTCTTCGGCCCCCGTTTCGCCTCACTTTTGGCTGTTTCAAGCTACAGGTGCTACCGCTGTTTTCCTTCTTTCTTCAGCCAGCCCGACCATGATCCCTCTGCATGGCCACTAGGGACTTCCTTTCCCCTTTAATGATTGCTATTCATTTGCTTTAATTGCCCAGGAACCCCGTCGTGGCTTAACGACTCACAGATCCTGTTCAAGCTCCCCCCCTCCGGATTTTAATTTATTCCCAAATTCTTGAAGGAATTGGGAACAGAAATCTCAGGAGTTACGCGCTGCCCTTTTACAGAACATGCACTTTTGCCTGCACTCCCCGCGCGCACGTTTTTATTTAATTACATTTCGCAGAAGGCGCAGGATCTCACTCGGGCAGGAAAGGGACGGCGCCGTATGAAGAGGGCGCCCACTTTCTTGCAAAAGCAACAAGATTCTTCTGTCTGTCTTCTCCGCCCCCAAATTAAGAGCAACGTACCGCGCCCACCCCGCACCCCCCCCGCCCGGGGCGTGTCGAGAAAGGCAGGAGCAAGAATCACACGCGTGCCGCACCGCCTGTCCCCAGATCTGCCTTTCCCTGTGGGTGTTTGAAGAGGGCGCCTCTAGCCAGTTAACTCCTGACGTTTGGGTATCATGTGAATGGTTGAGTTCCCATGGTTCAGTGTGAGCTTGCTTTGCCCCACCCCATCTCCTTCTCTCTCGCTCCCCTTCCTCTGTAGATTTTAATAATTAAAATCATCATCAATGCCGGCGAAATGCAAGAGAGAAGAGGAAAAATAAAATAGGGGGCCAGAGGAGAGCTGTTTATAGGGGAGCTGTTTTTTTGGGGGGGCTTTTTCGGGGGGAAGGAGATCGAAATCGCCTTTTCTTCTCTTCTGTCTCCCTCTCTTCCCTCCACCTCTCCCTTTCTCCCGTTCGCTTCACGCATTTGCCGGAAAAGCAAAAGCGGATTCAGCCGTCTGCGAAACTAATGTGAAAAAGCAGGAGCAGCGGCAGCGAAAGGAAAGCGAGAGAGAGGGCAGAAAAAGAAGAGGGCCTTGGATCCAAACAACCACCATTAGGGGAGGAAGAAACTGCCGCCGAATATCGACAGGAGGAGGAAAATCTACCCAGCCCAGAAAGGAACGCGGGGACTCAATCTGCCTGCCTGCCAGCAGCCGAAGGGTTGGCGTTGACCCCTTCGGGCGCTTCACCCTTTTTTGGAGAGGCGGTGTGCGTGTTTGCAAGGGGGAAGCCAGCAAAGAGCGAGCGAGGAACGGCGAAAAAAGAGCGAGAAAGGCGAGAGGCGAAGAAAACGAAGAAGAAAGACATTTCTAGATTCTCCGTGCCCAGCATTTGGGGAGGTTTCTCTGCTCGGAGCTTTGCTGCCTTGGATCTGAAGGAGGATTTATATATAGAAAGGGAGAGAGCCAGCCAGCCAGCAAGAAAAAGAGTGCGCGAGAGAAGTCTCTTAATATTATTTTGCCCTCCCCCACCACTGAGGGTGGCGTGGAAGCTGGAGGGAGAGAGATATTTTTAGAAAACAACACCCTAATTTTGTTGTTGCTTCTGCTGCAGGGTGGGGGGGAGGAAAGGGAACCAGGTTTTTTTTAGCCCGTAATCCTGCGGAGAATTCCCCCCCCTTTTTGGTGGCTGCCAACTCCCCCTCCTTACCCTACCCCCAAATCCCCCCCTTTTTTCGTTTTCTTCCCTTCTTGAAAAAAGTATAAAAAGAAAGGAAGGATCTGCATTGCGAGAGGATCTGGCAGAGGTGTGGGGGAAAAGGAGGTGGAGGCCCGGCTTGAGCAGTAGCAAAGTCATCGCTCCCCCCCTTCCCCCACCCCGTAGTAGACTCCGGGCTCCGCGTTCTCCATGTCTTTGGGCAGCGGCAGCTGCGAGTAGGAGAATCAAATAAAATTTTAAAAGGGGGGGAAGGAGAGCGATTCCCCCCCGCCCGTCCTCCCAGCCTTCTCCAGCAAGCCCCGATTGCTTCCTGCTCCCCTCCCTTTTCCTCCTGTGTCCCCCTCCTTTACCCCAATCCTTCCCCCTCCCCCAATCCTTCCCCCCTCCCCCTTCCATTCCGCCCCCCAAGATGGGCTGTTTAGGGAACAGCAAGACTGAGGATCAGCGCAACGAAGAGAAGGCGCAACGCGAGGCCAACAAGAAAATCGAGAAGCAGCTACAAAAGGACAAGCAGGTCTATAGGGCCACGCACCGGCTCCTTTTGCTGGGTAAGGGCGCGCGGGCGGCGGCGGCGGCGGCGGCGGGGTGGGTGAGGAACGGCAGGCTGCCTCCCTGCCTGCCTCCGCATGCTTCGGGGAGCGGGCAGCGTTGCTCCCCAGGCCCGGATCTCCCCGGCTAACTGGTGGGCAGGGCGGCGATAACGGGGCCCGGGAGTGACTGGGCAGGAGGCGCGGTGGTGCCCTGCCTGTTTGCCTTGTCCTAGTCCCGAAGGAAATGGGCCCCGCCAGGCGCACGCACGCAGCCCGCACGCCAGGAGGAGAAAGGGCTTCGGGGGCGGGGAGAGGGGTGCTAGGATCCGGGGTGGCCCCTCTCGGCCGGACGGGTCCAGCCATCCGCGGGGCCGAGGCGGAGAGGGGGGCGCCGGGACGCGGGGTGGCGGTGAGGCAGCCGAGGCAAAGGGGGCCTGGGCGAAGGTAGGCCTCGGGCCCTCCGTCGCTGGCTCCTCGCACTGTAGTCCTGGTGGAAGGCGGGGGAGGGGAGTTGCCAGGAGGTGACAATTCGAGGGCAGAGTCGGTAGTAGCTGGCGAGGTGTCGGAGGCAGGTGGGAGAGGGTCGTGTGCCCTCTCTGCCCCCTCCACTTCTCCTGTTTTTATTACCTCTTCCACGAGCATAAAAGAAAAAGCCAGGTTGCTTTATTCTCATTGCCCTCGGAAAAAAGATCTCCCTCCGTGGATGATTAAAATAAGCTTGATCTCCCTCTCCCTCTCCCTCCCGCCCTTTTGGGACCCCCTCAGTGAATTATTTCCTACGAGGGATTCGCCCTCTTCTCAGGATTTTATTTATTTTCGAAAGATAATTAATAGCCTATAACTAAAAGCTGCCCAGACTTTTTTTTGCACTCCCTTCTTCCCAAAACATGGTTAATATAAATTTTCAAAGGTTATCTCATGCTGCCTTTTCTGTTTTTTTTCAATCCGTATTTATAATTAAATGGTGTATGGAAGGGGCTTTAAGTGGAGTACCCCCTGCTTTCAGATCGTTAGCCTGGCCACGCTTATGGGCTGAACGGGTTGTCAGCAATGATTAAGTGGAAAGTCCTTTTAAAATAGAGACAATATTTTTGCGGCCTACACTTCGTGGCATGATTTTGGGGGTGCTTGCAGCAGAACGTTAGCACTTCCGTGAAGGTACTGGCTGCTTGCAGGCTCTCTGCAGAGACTGAAGTGAATATGTTACGTGGGGATGGGATATTAAGAGAATTTGGCTTCACCTTTTGCCCGTTGGGTATAGTACACCTAGCACTCACATTCATGCAGGAAGTGTGTGGAATTTTGTAGTATGCTGTTGCATTGGAGGGAGGACTGGATGAAGAGTGTTCTGGATAAATGGGGAGGGGGGAAATGATAGTTCTGTGGGGATTACCGGGAAAGGGGATTAAAAGTCAAAGACTAAAAAGACTTGAATTCTTCCCTTTGTCACTTTTATGGTCATCATTAATGTTGGAAGCAGGGTTGGAGAGCCGGTTCCCCAGCTGTAGCTCTGTATAGATTTCAGTATCAAGGACTGGCCTACTTGATGTGTTTTCAGCTTTTCTAAAAAGTGCCTGAAGGCTCTGGATTTTCCCAAAATATTATTCTATTTTCTGTCATATAGTCTATGTGAAATCTTAGTATTTTAATTGTTTTGGAGTATTGGCTATGAATGGAGTAAGATTTTTGTGGCGGAAAAGAAAAACTAGGACTGCTTCAATAGATAATCTTTTTGGTGGTAGCTAACATGGTAAAAATGAGCTTCAAACTTACAAAGTGCCATGGAAATATGGAGTGGAGTGCCCCTGATGTTATTAATTTGAAGAAATGTAAAAATAAAGTGTAAAACTATAAGAACATCCAACGTCTTAAAGGGTCTGTGCTAGCATAACTCAGAAAAAAACTTTAATGGCTGCAGAATGCCTATGTAGAGAAGTATCTTAAAACTGATCTCAAGAATGCATACTTGGAATTAAATCTATTTAAATCAGTTGGAATCACTTCAGTGCAGATGTGTTTAAGGCACAAGATGTAAATCAGTTTTGCAGCTTAAATATCCCACATACAACATGTTATGCTGCAATCCCATAGATGCTTACCTGGGAGTAAATCTCACTGAGCTCAGTAGCACTTCTCAGTTGATATATAGGATTGGTCTATACATCTCTTTGGAAGCTATGGTTATTACAAAACTGATTGGAGAAAAATTTCAGGCTTTTCCTAATTTGAACATGGCTTCCTTATTTATCTGAAATCTGACTGGCCCAGATGTAATGGCTTTAATAACCGAAGTTATAGACACTATGAAATCTGTGATGTTATGGTGTACAATATATGATACTCAGATGTGAAAAGCCCAAGTCCACAGTTAGTAGTATTTCAGTATGTTACGAACGCATTAATGCAGTAGAAAGAGCACATAAGCATGTCATGCTACCATATCCATCTTAGCAGTCCTCCGTATGATATGTCAATTAGAAAACCATTTCATTGCCTGCTAGTGACAGATGTTCTATACTTTGTATTTACTTCATATACATACTTCGTGAGTAAAATAACTTCAGTCTTCTGTAGATAACTATTAGAAATGTCAGGAAAAGGGTTGAAATTTAAATCAGTATTTGCTTAGCTCTTCTGTGTAATTCTATATATCATGATAAACCTTCTGGATGGAAGGTTGGAGGAAACACACTTGCTTTTGATTTGACCTTTTTACTAGTTGGTATGATAGATTGATTGGTTTTTGACACATTACAGCACTGTGGCTTGCAAGTACTTTATGCAATTACTTGACTGCCTTGGAGAAATTTCACTGAACCTATTCTCATCAATATTTATCAAGAATAAGGTGATGGAATGAGGTGAAGGTCCAATGTTTTGGTATTCAAATGTTCTTGGTTGGATTTGGAGAAAACTTGATGGTAATAATTAATAGTGGCGAGATGGGGCAAGGGAGACAATTTAGATTAATGTGCAGACTGAGACACAGAAAGAGAAGGGCTATATTAGAGATTCCCCAAGAAAAAATATAGTTTGATATATAGATGCTAAAATTTAGGGCTTTGTATGACACTCAAAATGGAGGCTCATACTGTCAGTGTCGGGAAAAGCCGAGCATTGGAGAAATACAAACACTGCCTTCGTGATTACTGTCCTGCTTGGTCTCAGTAATGTCTCCTCTTTCTGAGGTTTCTGGAAGTATAATAGGGAAAAAACTGTAAAAAGATGCTAGACCATGTGTACCACCATGGCAGAACTTGTGTTCCTGTAAAAGAAGAGGGGAAGTGAGCTTTTGTATAGAAATACTGAAGCTAACAACTTGAGTGTTTGAATATCTCTGCCAGATTTTGTGGTTCAGATCTTCCACTGAGGAGACTGAGTGGGTGCAACATGCTTATTGAATGGGGAGAAAAGGGGCTTTCTTATGTGTGGGGTGGGAGAAAGAGAAAAGGACTACTTGTTCTTCATTTTGCTTCCTACATTTTTTTCATGGGGTGAGCAAAATGATATTTTCAAAATGCAAATTTGATATGCAGCTTGATGAGGGGGTGTGCAGCTTGTGGAGGTGATGGGAAGCTTTTTTTGGGAGGTAAATGGGAGATGGAGACCATGGAGAAGCTCTCGTGCAGCACCGCAACAGAATGGTGGCAAGGTTTTGTTTCAAATAGCAATGTCTCTATCCTCAGTTTCAGTGCATTTAAGTGGCTTATGGTGTGATTAAAGGTGTGATGCTTTTACAGATACAACTGGCAATTGCTTGGCTCAGCTATGAACTGCAGTAGCATTCATTCTCTTGTCTACTTGAAAGGGGTAATCATTTAAGATGACTTCCTTTTCCCCACAAGATACTGAACATGCCTTTGCCTCAGTTTCCCAATTTTGCTTCTTTTGGTGGAGATTCTGGAAAATAAATGGATAGTGAAATATTCCAGGTTTCAGCTCTGACACATGGCTTCAGCTGCACATTTATTTTTAGCTATAGTTGCAGTTTCCAGCAGCAATTACTACTTTTTTCCCGTTCAGTTTTCAGTCTTGCGGTACATAACCTAGGTTTGTGTATTTTGCCTTTTGAGCAGAAGCAGCTCAAGTGCTCTTGCAGTCCTTCTACTTATTTCTAAAACTGATTTATTTTCATTTTATAGGTGCTGGTGAATCTGGTAAAAGCACAATTGTCAAACAAATGAGGATCTTGCATGTGAATGGATTTAATGCAGAGTAAGTCATATGTATTCTTACTGTATTTGAAATTGTAAATATATGTTTCATTCTATGAGTACTAGAGCAATTGGATATACCAGCTTGGAGAGGATTTATTGACTTTTTGTTTTTTCTGCATTGCTTTGTTTAGTTTGGGATATGATGACTGAACTTTACAAGTATGTAACGGTGTCTGCTTTTAGGAATTGCATCAAGTTTTCATTTGTCAGCCTTTATGAAGACAAAGTTTTTGCTGCAGTTTCTCTTACAGTATGGCTGTCATGCTAGGGTCTGTTATACTGCTTTAGTTGTCTTTCTCCGAACATTTTTCACATAGAAAGGTAAAACACACAATAAAACTGCATGTATGCAATGAAGGACCATTAAGGTTTGCTTCACAAAATTTGTCTTGCACTGGAATTACGCTTTGGACCACCAGTGGGCTTTTATGATTGCTGTTTGGTTTCCATAGTTAGAATAAAGTTTCATTAAAAGTATTTTTGTTGTGTCCCTGCAACTTTTTGGTTGCTTTTAATGGGTCAAGAACCATGGAAGGCATATCAAGGCTTAATTTGCAATTCAGTATTTTATATAAATCTTTAAACATAACTTCATCACTGACAACTTCTCTCTTTGGGCATTTGGGCAAAAGTATAACTGGAGTAATCCCTGTAAAAGAGCAAGATTTTTCCCCCTGTAAAATTTTAAGCAAAGCTTATTCAACTTAAAAATACTGCAGTTACTATTCTGTTTTGATGTTCTATAATTTGCAGAGAAGTGTGTGCTCCTAAATCATACTACATTTTTGTTTTCAGAACACTATTTTCAAAATTTAGCTTTCACAATAACGCTCCGTAGTTTCTTTATTTTGGTAACATCAGGCAAGAACCCAGAAATTTGTTCAGCAAATTCAGTACATGCAAGTACAGTTTCATGAGTCTTCAGTAGCAGCTGCAGCAAAGCAAAGGAGTCTAGAAACTTGGAGAAGGGCAGTGGGGGCAGGGTTTGCAAAGGCATTTTGTGGTATGCCATGATAAGTCTGATGATCAAAGAATAAATGTAAAAAATAACCCCACCCACAAATGCATTGACTGGCCAGAATGAGGTGTTTGGTTTCCCCATTGTGCTTCCATCAATCACATTATGGCTGGAATTTAACATGAGAGACCTCCTTGGTCCAATCAAAGGTCTATCATTCTGTTTCCTACAGTGGAAGTGCAAGGTGATTGATAGTACTGCCTTTTTTTGCTAACCCCCCCACCCCCAGCTAATTGTCATCTGTGAATGTGTCTAATCTGATTTCAAGGCAATTTAAATTGATATTGCTTCATTTTTAGGCAACAGTTCCATAATTCAACTGTGTGCCGTGTGTTTATTGTCTACTTGAATCTACTGCCTTGAGTCTGAGCTATGAGAGAGTGAGACAAAAAATATATCTCCACACCATTGATTATTTTATAAAGGCTATCATGTTGTTGTTGAAAATTAGTTTTCCTATTTTTCTACAAAGCCCCTGAAGCTTTAGCCTTTCCTTCTAGGAAAGTTTGTTATTGCTTTCTTTTATGTTTTTTTCCTATGGCATGTTTGAGATGAAGTTACCATAGAAGTACATAGTATTCCAGATATGACTTCATAGTTTTGATAAAGTCATGACAATAATACTTCTCTTTTTATCTCCTGGTTTGAATGACACAGCAGCCTACCATAGGACACTGTGGCACATGTTTTCAGCCTTTATGGTTACGCAAGCCCTATTTGGGGGTTGACAGTCCTCCTCATGTGGTGTTTACCAGGGGTTATTTGAGGGTTAAGCAGCCCTCAGTTATATGTGGGTTGCATAATCCTCAGATAACATCCCCCACCCTCTTGCCAGGTTCAGATGACATGACAAGCCTTGGCAACCCTTGGCCAGGGCTTGCATATTAACAACTGTGACTAGCATACATTATCTCACAATGGGATATTGTGTGGTGCAAACTGGGCCCACTGATTAGCAAGAAAGCAGTTAGTAGCTACAGCGTGTGTGATATACAGCGTGTGATTTACAGCCGGCTTTGCTTGATAGCTGTCACAGTAACCATATAAAAATGTTGATTGTGGATTCATGTGGTTCTTGTTTTTAAGCAGAAAATGTGTCACCATTGATGCAGAAGAATTACTTCAAGTCATGTGACTTTGATTTGTAACTTAGTTGGTGTTATCACACAGTCTGAAAGACTCTCACCTGTCTTAAAGAATCTTACCTGTTTTATGTATTTGGGACTGATACCATTTTGAACACCTACTCCTTTAGGGGTTCTGCATCAGATGTAATTATCTTTGAGAATTCAGTTAACACAATCTTAGCATGCACATGGCAACCTGGCAAAACCTGCTTTGTTCCAGCATGGTGAAAAGTTAGGTTTCACATTTTTAATAAAGAATTAAATATTAGACTTTCTAATCCCAGTCTTGTAGGTGAAACTCAGCTGTTTGGTATTCTGCTAGTAATTACAGAAAATTACATTCTTTTGTTGATGTGTGTGCATAATTGCTGAAAGCCTGAAAAAATGCAAGCGATGTTGGGAATTTGCTGCTTTTCTGTGTGCTCTGTGTGCGTATCACACTGCTCCCCTTTTCCACAGAAATTTTGTTTCTCCTTTTGCCATTGGTCTTATTCATTCTTTCCCATGCAGTAGCAAAATTAAGGTTCTTACAGGGCAGTACAGTTGTCATTGGAGCTTCCCTGTGAATTTTGCTTAGCACCCTCTCTTGCTGCCTTTAAGCAAGTGATAAATACGATATCACAAAGTTATTGTCTTAAAATTTTCTAGTGTAAGTCACTTTATGAGGGCTTGGGTAGGATACGCTGGGTAGAAATTAATATAAACATACTTTACTGAAAGTCATTTAGAAGCTTGCCAATGTGGAGTACTGATTCTCCCAGATCTGCAGAAATATTGTACCACCCTCCATAATATTCTATGAATCACTTGGGAAACTATTTTATTGCAATATAGGTTGGAGTACATATGAATTTGACATACTGAGTGGCATTCAGTGCTGCCCCTCTGCTGTTAGAAGGCACCTTGATCCCATGGAAGCTTTTATTCCTCTGTGGAATACAGAGGAAGGTGATTATTAATGATGCACCTTCTCTCCTGAAGCCCATGCCACTTCTCATGCAGTTAGAAGGGCCTCTCTTGGGGTTCTGGCAAAAATCACTTCCTGTTCAGTTCTGCTGATGAAAGTTTCTGCTATATCAAAGAGCCTTCCTTAAGTTGACAAACTGGATACAACATTATTTCTAGTGCTGTATTTACACACTATTATCAGCAGTCTGTTCTAAAATATACCTAATTATTGGTCATCACAAAAGATTGACTTCTGTCTGAATACCTTAAACTTATTAGTTGGTGGAAATTCAGACGAAAAATTTAGAATAGGACAGCTATCTTTTCTCCTGCCAAACAGCTGAAGAGCATCCTTGATTTGAGGGTGCTGATTTAGGGTTACTTTACTACTGAAGGCTAGAAACCATTTATTTATTTAAAAGATTGACAAAAGATCAATCCGTGCTTAACTTTTATTTTGCATTTCTTTTAAAATGTTCAACTACCTTTATAGGTAGCACTCTTAAATTTATAAGCCTGCCTATAATTTACTTCTCTCATAAGCCTTTTCCAGATTAAACTGTGATTCTAGGAATCTGTTGGTAAAAAAAAATAAAATAAAAGTTTGTTCAGTGGACAACAGTGACCACAACTGAAAATTAGAAAATTTATCTAGAGCAGAAAAAGTAGCCTAAATATGCTCAGCACAATATGAAACTTTCATTCTTCAGATCCATTTCCTCTTATTCCTTATCACCTGATGCCTGTTCTTTCTCGTTGTGTTCAGCCATCAAAGGAAGAAGCCGGGGGTGAGGAGAACCAAGAATCAAACCAGGAATTTAACAAGGACATTTTTTTCTTACAGTAGAGTCTTGAAATATTCATCGGGAAGTAAATAAGGAAGGTTGGATGTATGGCTTCCATCGAAGTGATTATTTTCTGTAGGTGAATGGTAGTATGCTTATTTGGATCAATAAATATAAATTGTGTGTGTGCAGATGCGCATACATTATTATTGCCAGTATAATCCAGGCCACTAAATGCTTACCCAAATGAAAATGTGTTCTAGTGTGCTGAGAAGCAGTTCTCTGTTCTGGCAGATCTGAAGCATAGAACAGTAAAGTTGGGTGCAATTGCTGAGAACATGCATCTTTGCGCTGTTGTTCAAACCTCATACATGAATGATGCTAAGAGTGTGCCACTGTTTTATGATGAACTATGATGGTAATACATGAGAAAGAGTTCCGTTTTTATGATTCAAAGTCCTTTTTCCTTTCCAGGACTCTTAATCAAAACCTTGTACAGTAAAGTCCTTCCCTTGGATGAGATTTAAGCAAACTATCTGTATTCAAGGTTGCATCTGTCACCTCTTTGCTGTACATCAGGCAGTGATGAGAAGTGTAATAAAATAAACTGTTGAAATATCTGTTCCTTTCCCAGATGTTTTGAAGACCAAAATCAGTACCATCTTAATAACCAGCAGGTAGTTGATGTTGGCTTCAAAAAACTGTTATTCTTGTGTACTTTATCTTAGGTTTGTATAAGTAGTCCTTAAGGATTGTTCTGTTCCATGGATCTCCAGTGTCAGAGGGCAGGATTCATATGCATGACCCGTATTAAATTGTGTGTGTGGTGGTGGAGGGGGGGCATTTCACTAGATGGTGCTGATTTAATTTAGTCTGCAAAAAAATCATATGACTCTTCCCTCTGGTTTTGCTGTTTATGGAAGTGTTCTTCCCAGCTCAGCCCCCAAAGCCCAGTGAAGATAGGAAGCAATCTGTGCAGGGAAGTGGGTAAATTCTGGAAATGTGATCTTGGTTAGCAATTCAGTGCTTGGGCAATCAGTGCAGGTAAGAGCATGTTCTGACTTTTAGAGACTTCACCTGGATTCATTCATACTTTCAGCTCTCCATGGCTGTGATTTTG